ATTAAGGGTTGTTTTATGACCATGTCTTTTGTGACTGTAAATGTATTTTATTTGTATTCTAATTTTGTGAAGCACTTTGTGACCTCTATGTCTGTGAAAGGTGCTATATAAATAAACATTACTTACTTACTTACCTGCTTCGTGAAACGGACCCCAGGTAGTTTATGACTTCGAAGAAGGTCTGGTAAGTGATTTTCTGTTGAACTCAGATCCATTACCTTTATGAAATAAAATATCAAATTTTTTTATATAATTATTATTTTGTAAGAAGGAAAAAAAAAGAAATCCGAATTTGTAGGTCACGGGTTAGGGAAAGCAGGAAATTTGCATCAGTCAGGAAAAGCCTCTGCTCTTTGTTTATACAGTGCTAGAAGATATCCTGTAGCCTGTTTGAAAATATCTACTCTTAGGACTTAAGAGTCTAGTTTTTCTGTTTATGTAATTGCTGTTTAGAATTACATGTCTTAAAAATGAAAGCAAAGGGTTTGGTACCAAAATAATTTATTTTGATCCAATAAAAATCGACTGCTGTGGAAAAGGATTTGACTCGATTTGACTCGATTTCTGTTTTTTTGTATCATCAGATATATTTCTATTTTGGATCACCTGAGAAAATACAAATAAATAAGCAACAATTAACAATATAGAACTCCATTAAGAAAGAAAAGTGAGGCAATACAGACATAAAAATATTGTAGGTTTGAAGAATTCAGAGGAAAGAAAACTTTTTGTTTGTTTACTGTGTCACTGCAATGATGACGCCGTCTTCCTCACACCTGCCACTTTCTGCATTAAACACTAACAGAGACCTGTGGCTATTCATCAAGCTGTCAGCTGCAGCACACATCCATCATCCTTTTCCCCAGTGTCTCTGGTTCTTATACACCCACACACACTTAGCCCAAGGGGGTTTGGAGCATTTCCCCTCAGCTGACATTGTTGAGCTCTGGGGAGATTGCACAGGTATGCATAGAGGGCAAGGCCACGAACATCTCTCTGCTGTTGTTTTACTTTTCTTTGTCACTTTTCTTTTCCATATTTGAACAAAAAGTAAGAAAAGTGAAGAAAATGCTGATGCCAGGGAATGGCCTATTTTAGATCAGAGAGCAGAGCTAAAGCTTGGCAAGCCACAGATGAATATTATTCATTATTCATTTTTCAGAAAAAAGAAAAAGAAAAAACAAAAAGAAAGTGCCACAACATGGGGTGCTTTTAACATTGCTGATTTTCTACTGGTGTTTAGAGATAAAACCAGATCCTGCAATAATAAGCACAGATAGGCAAAATTAAAAAAAAGGTTTTACAAAAGCAGTGTTTCTATAAAAGATGGTAAACTCATTCATTATTCATCGTCTGATTAAAAAAACTCATGCGTACAGTTAATCTCCGTGATTTTTTTTTTAAATGAATGCATCATTTAAGGTTTAAGTTGTTTTTCACTGTCTTGCTGCATGAGGCATTTTGTTCTATTTTCCATTTACGTTTGTATTGTCTTTTCATGTTATACTTTATATGACCAATAAAAAAAAAACAAAAAAACATTTTAAACCAGACAGACTATTCAATGGTCATACTATCATGATCCCTGAGTGGTTTAAATAAGTTGAATATTTTCAGTTTCTTAATTATTTATCTGATTTCTGAAAATGTCTTAATTAAAACATGACTGACTGACTTTCTTAAATGTTTGCTTGTAGCTCTGCAATGCTTTTCATAACATGAGCTGCCTCATTATTTACTATCCATATCTAGGCTAGAGTAATAAGAGGCACGAATGTCTTTAAAATGATAAGTACATGAATGCAACAGTGGATTTTTCATGCACAGATGAATACAGTAACAGACAGAAAAAGAGAATGTGAAGCTCAGGGATTTAACTGTTTAGACAAACAGCTGAGATGTGTTCATTCCAATTTTGGTTATGTTCTTTTAGTCTATTTTAATTATGCTTGAATATTCAAACCAAATTGCTGCAGAAAAATTCGGAATACTTTTGATTTATATTTCCCAAACGAAAAAGAGAGTGGAAGAATGAATTGGTAGAAAAGGTGTGCAAGACACTGAGACATTAACAGTCTTGAAATGATGGTGAAGTAAGAAATTGGGGACTAGTGAGACATAGACTTTGGCTGGGGTCTTCCACAGCTACCACAGATGTATTAGAATATAACTTGTACACTCCTTTTTGTAAACCACCGCTGACACAGACTGAAAACATACCAGATATCTAATCCATATAATAGACATCTGTTTTAGCAATTCTGTAAAATAAATAAATAAATAAAAATAAAACATAATAATAATAATAATAATAATAATAATAATAATAATAATATATACACATATATATATATTTATATAGTTTTAGGATGTGTAATTAAGCTAGTTTGAGCTTTTTACAGAGTTACTGAAAGAAATAAACTATTGGAAGATTTTTGTTTTAAATGTAGTTGTAGAATGCCCCCATTTCTCTTGGGACCAAAATGCATCCAAAATGTTGCCTTCAAAAGACATCTGCTAACACTAAAAGCTACATTACAGGTTTTAGTTAATTTAACAACCAAGATGCACTTTGCAAAATATTTTAGGCAATTTAAAATCTCTGTTTTTCTTAGATTTTATCTGCTGATATTTTGTTAAAATGTGGTTTCTATTTACAGTAGGAGCTTTAAATAAAAAAACATAAGAAAAGCACTGAGTAAATATTTTCTGCCTACAGTGCTCATTATGGAGGACCAACTCAGCCATATTTAAAAACAAATACATAAATAAATAAATGCTCAGTAAATAAATAAGCATACAATTAATTGCCCCCAAAAATACAATACACAAATAAATGTAGGTAGAAATTTAATTATACAGTGAGACATAAATGTATATATCTCTTTTAATTAGCTTCTTTATTTATTCGCCTTTGGTGTTACTACCTTATTTAGTTATTCACCTTGGTAAATGGGCCTTATAGTGATGCTTAAAAGTATAATGTTCTCACCTCAAATGATCCTAAAACACAGTGAGCTCTGTGAGTTAAGAAGATGGGATGCCAACCAATGGGCAGAAGTTAACCATCTAAGACACACCCCCTCCTCATTTGCATAATGTAGCAGAAATGCATACAGAAATGTAAAAACGACAGGCAGAAATAAATAGCGTTGAAGAAATAAATAGGGTAAAAAAAATACACAGGAAGAATGAAACAGACAAAAATATTATCGCATAAATAAATACTTAAAATAATAAGTAATAAATAAATAAAGTTGACAATTACAAGGGACAATAAACAAATAAGGTAATTATAACAAAGGCGAATAAATAAAGAAGGTAATTAAAAGAGATATATACACTTATGGCTCAATGTATAATTTAATTTCTACCTACATTCATTTGTTTATTGTATTTTTGGGAACAATACATTTTTTGCTTATATATTTATTGGGCATTTATTTTTTAAATATGGCAGAGTTGGTCCTCCATACTTTAACAGATTGGAATTCCACATTTCTCCCAGGTGCCATGCAATCTTTGCAGCATTCTAACTCGGTTTTCTGCTAATAACCTCCTAAAAGTCTCGGTACATTTCACTTGAATTAAATCCATTGGACAATTTGACATGTAGTATAGTTTATCGGGTTTTTTTTCTCTTTTCCTTTTAACCAAATGTTCTTATTTTGTTTTTCCGGATTTAGTTAAGTTTAGTTCCATCACTTTTTACCCATAATGCACTGCGAGACAGCCACGTAAACCAGTGCATCCTGACGTCTCAGCTTGCTAGCTGCTTCTGCTTCCTGCACAGTTTCAGAGCTGCACATAACAGACAACCGCATGATGCTAAACTCATCCAGCAGGTATATATATATTTTTAAATCAAATTATTGACTCCTTTCATCTGTCATGTACAGTCATTCTACATTAAAGCGTATAAACTAGCAGTTAGCTCCCGAGCTAGTCGATTCTGCTAATGGTGTTAGCTCTCAAGCTGTTTCATTTAATATTTCTAAATGTCTTTTAGTCTAAGTTAATGTTTTTCATCATATTAAACTATTTTAGAGTGTTTATTGATGAGTCCTTCGATTATCTGGTTTATAGAACGGCTATATTCTATATACCGTTATAAACTAATATGTTTGGATTTTACCGTTAGCTTGTCCTGCTTTGCCATGTTTTTGTCAACTCAAATGAAATATTAAATTCTAAATTAAGGCTTAATTTGTAATTTACAATGAATATAAGCAGTGAGATGATGGCTCACATCACATCATTTCCTGTCGGTTTGTTTTCGTTCAGCCGTGGAGCTCTCCGTGGTTCTGATACAAACGACCCCATCTCTAGGTTTTGGTTTTGATGTTAAACCCATATTAGTTTGTTTTGAAATAAGAATAAGATACACAACATACATACGTCAATGAATAAGGTAAAGCAACTTTTGTTTTATTTCTGTGGTTGCAGAATGTAGTAGAATGCACCTATCTTCCCCCCACTGTTTGGAAATGCAGGCTTGTCAGTAGAAAGCAAAGGACTAACATGTGCAAACATCACTGAATTACTTTTAAATAAAAAAAAAGATGAATAGAGCAGGATAGCTTTTAATCGCAAAACTGTGTAAGCTTTCTATAGCTTCACCTAAAATGACTCAACCTAAACTGATAAGTAGGTTTATTGGTGCAATTATCAACCTTTTCAGCAAAATAACAATCCGCTTTCTGATAGTTTTTCTCTATTAAAAGCTGCCTTTTCTCCAACCCTTTATTGAATCAGATTGTTACTCTTGCTGTTAACAAGGAATAGTGGAGGTGTTTATTGTAGCTTGTTGGGTTTGAATGTGATAGATTTTTTTATTTTGGTGCAATACTGTGCAAAACCCATGTGAATAGTTGGGAAACCAATAATTAATTATAAGAAAAAAAACCTACAGTAATTACATCTAGATAAACAATACTGTATTCACATGGCCTGTTTTGAACCTGTTTACAGCCAATCAGGGAGACAGCCTCATCTGTAAAATGTCGATGGTGTTGTTTGCCTCCGTGGTTCGCGTTGCGGACGGCCTGCCTCTCTCAGCATCCACCGACTATGAACAGGAGAAGGACCTTCAGGAGACAAAGAGGCATCTTAAAGGTCTCTCCAGGAAACTCAACCAGTTTCCTGACCGCTGCACACTCAAGTCTGGGCCATACAATGTGAAGTATGACACATTTTATGGAATTTATTTAATATTTTATGAAATGATATTATATTTTAAAGGTAATATATGCATTTTTTAAATTTAACTTTTAATAACTTTAATTATAAAGGATTATACATTATACATTCATCCTCATTTATAATTATCCTGGATAGTTTTCCTTTTTCTTTCTCTCTGAATATTGTCATTGAATAATGCCCCCTGATGTTAGTAAAACTAAAACATGGAACCATTTAGGCATTTTTTCCTCAAAGAGCTATTTATAAAAGCTCAGCTGATGTTCAGGGGAAAGGCGTTAAAAAGCTTTCCAGCGCTGTTTGATAGGAGCCAATTAGTCTTGTTAAAACGCAGGACATGACCTTAAATGAAATGAGCCGATTACACCTTTCAGCCACAGCTTCCTTTTGATCAGCATCATATTTATTAATTTATTAAGCCTGCAAATATAAAACTGAAGGGAAGGTCATGATACTCAGCTGTTTTATTTCAGTGTCTAGTCTTTTTATATCTCCTTTACCATTTAGATGCATTTTAGGGATGAATAAAGCCTCAAAATCATGGCAGGCTGATATTCAACTCAACTTCTATGTATTTGATTTTTCTTGTTATAAACTGTAGGTAAAAGATAACAGAAAATGCCACAGATCTGACAGGATTCAGCCAAATCTCAGTAATCTATCATAAATTGGCTTAAATTTTGCTACAATTCATCTTGTTTTCATCTGATATTTCAATACTTAACTAACCTTTTATTTTTGCATTTACTGAACCAGATGTTATTGATTTATATATATATTTATGAAGTCTTTTTTGTTATATAATATGGTTATGCATCAGCTAACCCAGAGCATTACTATCTGACTGGCTTCCAGTTGCTGCGTCATAGATCAGCAAATAGCGCCTTTTTGCATTTTAACTTATTATTGGCTAATTTATGACAGAATAAATATCTAGCCTCTTGACTAAGATGTGTTTATCTGAAGTGAGGTGTGTATTTTGTTAAAAATAATTTATAAATAATACACACGTTACATGTGTTACCAGTGTACTTAAAGCCATATTCTGTAACTTTTCTTAACCTCTTAAAATCCACCTAATTTCTCGGGAATTCACCTATTTTGCATGCCCAAATGGAAAAGCAAATAATTGAGGAACTGTAACACCAAATAACATGTGTGATACATTATTTGAAAGCTAACACCTTCCTGTTTCTGAATATAAACCGGAAATTTGGGTGAGTAAAACACCCAAGCTGCATAAGTTCAAACAAGATTCAAAGTTTTTTTTTTAATTTATCAAAAATAATAGGTCTTTTTTGAACAGCAGTTATAAAGACATGCTTGCTTGTTGTGGCTACTTTGTCACGCTACATTTCGTGCTGCTATAATTGTGCTTTGGTGCTTACTGTGTCCATAAAATGAACTTGGTGGTTGAATTGTGGAGAATTTAAGCTTTCCAACGATGTCTAACATGCCTATATTGGTAAACATTTTACCAGTATAATTTTCATGCATTCTGAGTTATTATTTGTAAACTCTACCAGAGATGTCACATTATTTATCAACCACTGTAAAGATGCATGACAACCCTAAATATCATCTCTTATTGGTCTCACTTTAAAAAGGCAGCCTTTAACATGATATATGTTGAATAAAAATTACTAATGGTCCAGATATTGAAATACATGCTGTTAAAACTTGAGGAGAGTTTGTTGAATTTGTAAAATCCCTCGATATGATTAATTATAGTTACTAATGGGACCATAGAAAAGTAGACTTTGTGTCTAGTAAACTATTTATTGGCTGATCAATTATCCTAAATAATTATCTAGCTGAGCAAGTGACAAATTTATTGGATGGGTCCTCCTGATTTTTATTTACACATTTTTAAAGAAAATCAAAGAAATCATGGACTTTTACACTGTTTTCCAAACTATTAATCCTGCCTTTCACATTTTATAGAGCCTGTTTTTAAATAAGAAAAAAAACTCAGCCTTAGTCTCTTCTAATCACACTGGAAAAAATTATTTGGTATTCGAAAAAATGTCTTAAGTTAAGTGTATTTACCCTTCATTTGAGTAGGTAAATGAGGTAGTTTACCAATGTAATTAGTATTTTTCTCTTAAAATAAGATAATTCGATAAAATGCACTTGAAATAAGACAATGTAATTGTGTTTTCTTATTTTAAATTTAAATGGTCTTGTTCCATTTGCAAAATATCTCTTTTACCTCAATTCAAGAACAAATGCACTTATTTTAAGAAAAAAAAAGACTATCTAGATTTTGATTTTTTTCCAGTGCAGATCGCTTGAATTCAGCTAGTTTTGGCCTAGTTCACAGGGTAAAATAGGTTTGGAGAGATTAATCAGAAAAGACATTTTCAAATCTGTTTTAGCTCCTGGCTCTGCTATTCTTCCCTTCCTGGAGAGACTAAAATACTGCTGAATCCATTAAAAGGTGATGAGGGGAGTGAGAGATGGGAGGGAAGTTAACTTGAAGTGGTGCACAGTGTTATAGTGGCATTTATTTAAATATTTAAATGTTAAATTGTAGTTAATAAGAAAACAAATATCTTCTGCAGTGTCTTTGCTAGAGGATATAGTTTTGATTCGAAAAGAAGCTAAATGTTTTTACAGATTTGTCACCATCAATGCATCAAAGCACATGTTTCTTACCTTTATTTTATCTTGGTTCTAGTAAAAAGTAAATGCTTCAAAATACATGATGTAGCTTGATAAGTTTAAAGAACGAACACATTTCCAGTTCTTTGTTTGGATGCACTTTATTTTTAATGTTTAACCTGAAGATTAATGCAAAATGCAAGTTATTTTTCTGTTTGTCAACATTTATTACTTATTTTGCCTTGGTGACCCTTTTAACTAAAAAGAATTGTGTAGGGAAACATTTCTCAACTTCTCAGTTTATATTGTTGGTTTCCTTTTTGAATTTTATGACAGCAGAACATTTGAGTTAGAGGGAGCTTTGAGGTTATCAGCTTCTGTTTAGTTGCATATTTTGACTGTTTTACTTCTTGGAAAGAACTGCAGAATATGTGGAACAAAGAGTGATGAAGCTTTGCCCTAAATGCCAACCTGTCCAGCAAGTTCTGGGAAAGACTGAGGTTGAAAAGCTCAAAACAGAGGAGCTTTGTTCACCTTCCTTTTATGCACTGAAGGTCTCTCTCTCTCTAAGAAAATAGAGTTCACCTTTATATACATCTCTGTGTCTCCTCGGTTTCTTTGCAAAACGTATTCCTGATAAAGAAAAGAGCTAACTTTGAGTTTTCTTTACTCAGTAAAAGCTTCTGCTTCAAAGACTGTTGCTTTCTCTGCTACTATGAGAAACTACACATTGGTGCTTCTACCGCTTCTCTGCTTTCCTTCCTCTCTCTCTTTGTAGAGACCTATAACAATCAGTGCAATAACACCTATAACCTTCCTTGAGTATCTTTCTTTTTCTGTCAGACTAACCTGATGTGATTCTGCTGCAGCAATAAGTCCCACGGTTGGAAATCTTTACCCGTGCAACAGGGTTTACCATCATATCTGACTAGCAGTGTAACGTGTTCCAGTCTCTGCGGGTGGCTTTAGTTATGGCTGCAATACCTCCACCTGCTCCTTTCAGATTTAACTAGATTTTTCTCTTTTTTAAGACACTTAAGAGTTAATTTATCTCATCTTTAAAATAATTCACACAGCCTCCTCTGCTCCTTATTTCTGCTCTGAGCTATTTAGACAATACCAGTCTTTATCAGGGAAAGTGAACCTGCTAATCGTATTAATTAAAGCTTCCAGGCTGATAGGTGTTGTCTAAACAGCTGCATTTGAGTGTTAATGTGGTTATTATGTTCACTTCCCTGTAAAAGTGGGATTTTATGTTTTACCTGTAGAGGGGTAATGCATTTTAAACCGTGTTTGCTCTGTGATTAGAGCATTAACAAGCAAAATCATTACCCTTGTTATGGTACCCTTTGCAGTTTGTTGTCTTATTAGTTCTCTGGTGCGTTTGCCCTGAGAAAAATGCAGGACGCGTTGAGTTAAAAGCAGTAATATCTGTTCTTATGTCTGGGTTTTAGTTTCATATACTCACTGGGCGTTGGATACCTGATGGTCTGCACTGCAAATTACCCTAATATGCTGGCCTTCTGCTTCCTGGATGAGCTGCAGAAAGAGTTTATCATCACTTATGACAGCAAACGCATCAGCAGCGCCGTGCGGCCTTACTCCTTCATTGAATTTGGTAAGGTGTTTTTTTTATTTTTTTTATTACTACCTCCACACCATTTACATTTGATCAGATGTCACATTATTTAGCAACCACTGTAAAGATGTACGACAACCCTAAAAAATATATACCGTATTTTCACGACTATAAGGCGCACATAAACGTCTTTTTTTTCCCCTCAAAATGTGCAGTGCGCCCTTTGGTGCGGTGCGCCCTATGTGTGTTGCAACTGCGACTTTTGAGACCACCTCATTGAGGAGATGATGAAAGAGTGGCTGAATGTAAGGAGACCAGGTGTTTTTTTTCCACGCATCACCATCGCTGTTAATCTGACTCCATGCGTGCCCATCTCACAGCTGATGTGAAAAACATGGTGAAACAAATTAATGCTGTGCTCGCTGTGAACCGGACGCAGCAGGTGCAGCAGAAGCAGCGAGTTTACATGCAAAGTCAACGGTTGACGAGCGTACAGGCGCAGCAAAAGGTCCCGCTGCTGCTGCTCGAGATGGAAAAAATTGAAGTTTTGCTGCTGGACGCGCCGCATCAACGAATCAGAGAAGCTGATCTGGGAGCTGACAGCGAGACAGACACAGCGCTCTGATGACATATGATATTAACGCAAATGAAAAAAGCTGGATGGATGAGGAGATGATGAAAGCGTAGCTGAGGCAGGTGTATGTGAGGAGACCAGGTGTTTTTTTTCCACGCATCACCATCGCTTTTAATATGTGACTCCATGCGTTCCCATCTCACAGCCGATGTGAAAAACATGGTGAAAAAAAATGAACGCTGTGCTCGCCGTTATCTCGGGGTCTGACAAAGGAACTTCCACCGCTCAACATCGGTGTGAAGCGCCCGTTCAAAGTAAGGCTGCGAGCGGCGTGGGAGCGATGGATGACAGACGGAGAGCACAGTTTCAGGATAAGTGGAAGGCAGCGCCGGGCAAGTTACGCCACCGTTTGCGGATGGATTGTAGATGCTTGGGCTAACGTGTCTGCTGGCTCTGTTGTTCAAGCTTTTGCAAAAGCAGGCATTATTTCTGAGGAGCCGCGCGGCACGGAAAGTGACTCTGACAGCGAAGAAGGGGAAATTGGCATGTCTGATTTAGCGCAGCTGTTTAATTCAGAAACAGAGGATGATGACTTTGATGGGTTTGATTAATACTTTGTAATAAATACATGAATAAAGCACAATCATACTCAGTTTTGCTCCCGCTCTATTTTTCTACCTGAAAACTTAATTCAACAGCAGCCTCTGGGCCGGGTCTCCTCCTCTTCATCGCGGTGGCTGGCAGGTGTTTTTTCATCTAAATAATCTAAATCTTGCAGCTATATTTGCTGTGATCAGTGGGAATAAAGTAGTTTTAATATGTTTTTTAAGTGAGAAAGTCCACCTGAAAACTTAATAATTGCAGTCAGTTCATCCAGATTATCATCCTGCCTATAGGCTACTATTTCTGTCGGAGGCGCTCAGACCCCGACATACCAGCGGTGCGCCGACAGTAGAAATCCCTTCAACAGCAGCCTCTAGGCTGGGTAGCCTCCGGGTTCACCACGGTGGCCGGCAGGTGTTTTTCATCTAAATAATTTAAACTGCAGGCAACAGGATACAGGTAATAAAAGCGAACATATTCTGTCGGCAGGTTTCAGGATTTTAAGTTAATTTAGGAGTGATCACAGCGCTCTGTCATCTGCGATGTGTCTGTCTCATGGCCAGCTCCCAGGTTTGATTAATACTTTGTAATAAATACATGAATAAAGCACAGTCATACTCAGTTTTGCCCCCGCTGTATTTTTAAATACGCAGTAGAGGTATTTAAAGGTAGTAGAGGATATGTACCTGTATAGAAAAAACGCGCCCTATAGTCCGGTGCGCCTTATGTCTGTGTTAAATACAGAAATGGCACACATAACTGAGAGTGCGCCTTTTAGTACGGTGCGCCTTATGGTCGTGAAAATACGGTAATCTGTTATTGATCTCAATTTAAAAAGGCAGCCTTTAACATGATATGTGTTGAATAAAAATTACTGATGGTCCAAATATCGATACACATGCTGTTAAAACTTTGTACAAAGTCACTTTCTTTTCACGGATGGAAGCAAATTTAGGAGAGTTTGTTTAATTTGTAAAATCCCTCGATATGATTAATTAAAGCTACTAATGGGACCATAGAAAAGTAGACTTTGTTTCTAGTGGACTATTTATCTGTTCTAGCTGAGCAAGTGACAAATTTATTAGATAGGTCTTACTGATTTTTGTTTACACATTTTAAAGAAAATCAAAGAACTTATGGACTTTAACACTGTTTTCCCAGCTATTAATCCTGCCTTTCATATCTTATAGGTCTGGAGAGCCTGTTTTTAAATAAGAAAAAACTCAGCCTTAGTCTCTTCTAATCACACTAGAAAAACGATCTAGAAATAGGAAAAAAATTCTTACTGTAAGTGTATTTACCCTGAATATTACTCTTAAAATAAGATACTGTGATAAAATGCACTTGAAATAAGACAATGCAATTGTGTTTTCTTATTTTAAATGTAAATCATCTTGTTCCATTGGCAAAATGTCTCTTTACCTCCTCAATTCAAGAAAAAATGCAATTATTTTAAGAAAAACTTACTTATCTAGGTTTTGATTTTTTCCAGTGCAAATCGCTTGAATTCAGCTAGTTTTGGCCTAGTTCACAGGGTAAAATATAGAAATTGTTCGGGTTCTTTTCTTTTTCTTTTTTCCAAAACCCAACATACTTCACGCATAATTATAAAGAAAAACATAAATATTCCAAGTTGAGGTCCTACTTTGTGTGGAAAAGATTCACTCAGGAACGTTCAGATGGGAAATTTTCCAAAATCTCGAATTCCAAAGTGAGTTAAGAGCAAATAAATCCTGCAAAGATCAGGAAGGAACTTCTGTAGTTGGTGGATACATTTTAACAGAAAAAAATAAATAAGATAAAGAATCTGGTTATCCATTTGCCACGCTGATATGGAGTTGTGTTTTTAATTTTCCTTTCTGTGTTTCAGTCACATTTAGCAGGCTGTGTTTTCGTAGCCTGAACCAGCCAGGCTGACTTTACATAGCGCTTAAGTCAGTCAAATCAGGCTTAATAACTCGGCCTGAAAAAGACCCGACCAATCATAGCGCAGAAGGTGAGCCTGTAAATGCAGCAGGGCTTCTGTGTAACCATAACTCCTTGGTTCTGACCTTGTAGTTCAGTTTTTACATTCTTCACAATAGCCTCTGCAACCGTCAAATCTGTCTCTGTGCGCGACCACGCCCCGTAGTCGCGCACCTCAAAAAATCCTAATTACACATCGGACGGCCATAAACCCGTGCAGACCTCTAGTTTGAGTGCGCAGACAAAAAGCAGCTGTGATTGGTCCTTGGTATGCCTTTCCAGCTGCCTGTGTGGTCGTCCTTCTCGATTCGGTGCTGGGGCTTGTCATTTTTAAAAACCGAGGAACAACTTCAATGGAAAACTACGACAAAAGGTTAATCCGTGTTTTTGCCAACTTCATTAACAGAACCTGTTCCTCTTCCATTTCTAGCAACTCTAGATCCATCTCCGTAACTGTGATATCTTGCAGATGCGCCATTGTTGTTTTGGAAGATAAACACTCCCGTCGGCGCCGCCGAAGTTCTCTTGACCATCCGCCGAAGTTCAAGCGAGTTCTCTAATAGGCTCTCTCTTGCACTTTGGCAGGAAACTGCTGTGAGTCCCTAGAAATTCCAGACCAAAGGTGCAGAAGCATACCAGCAAAACTGGTTCGCGACCAGATGCAAGCGACATTTGATGTGTGCGGTTGCAGAAGTATAATCTGCCCTTTAGGGTAGAACCTTTTCCCAAAAAAGGAGGGGCATTCAGCTGAATTCTCTAAGCTGATTGGCTACCTGCCTCCCATCACAACAGCTTTAGAGGCTGTGACGTGTCACATTCTTCTGTTGCTTTACAACAGGTGGATTTAAGTGATAAATTAAACTCCTGCCAAATCAGGTCAGGAGGAACGTGCAAATATCTGTGTATCTTTTAGGATTTTATTTTAAAACGATATAGAAGGTATTCCAGCTAAAACCGTCACAGCCATCTTTGTTTGGCTTCAGCCTTCTGCCTCTGGTTGATATCATACACGCTACTGCATTTCATTGGTCCAAAACGTTTCTGTATCGAGGCTAATGCAATGGCTTATGGCAAGATGTATTTTTGGTAGTATGCCTTAGACTGTAAAAAACTGTAAATCTGTGTAAGTCAATTGTCCTTGAAATTAAAGTGTTTTTTAGCAGTTAAGTAGGACAGTTTGCAAAAGAATGAAATTATTTACACTGAAAAAAAAAAGCATATCTAACTATCTTCTTTTAAGGACAAAACTACAAATTTTCTCTGGTGAATGATCTTGTTTACCTCCTCAAAAAACTTATTTTATCAGATCATTTTATATATTTTTAAATCTGTTTTTTGCAGTTTAAGTGTCTCCATTTGAGGTCAGAGCAATCCCACCTTCCTTCAGTGTAGACTAGATTATGCAACACAGTACTGGAAGTATATCTCATAAAATGTTCTTTAGAGCCGTCTGAATAATCTAAGAGTCATAAAGATTGTCTCAAAGATCCATGAGATTATCTTATCGTGCAGGGCAAAAATGGAAATAAAAGCAAATCGATAAGGCGATTTCCATTTAAAATAATAAAAAAAAACACCTCCATTATCATATTCATGGTTTATACTATCTAATAATCTTATTTTAAGCATGAAAATACAAATTCTAATGGAAGATCATCTTATATACCTGCTTAGATTAAGAGCAAATACTCGTATTAAAGACAATTTTACTTGCTTTAGATCAGTTTTTGCAGTGTGTGAACCATCAACATGTTCAGATTTAAGTAGAAGGGACTAGAAAAACGTTTTTTGTTTTTTTTCCAGTTTTGCTAAAAGCAAGTAATCATGTTGATGGCATGTGACTGTTGTCCTGGAGATTTATGAGCCCTAGATACTGCTCTGTGCTCCAACATTGGCTTTAAAGGTTTATTCTACCTCCTGTTTATTGCAGTAATGAGAACAGCGTTCTCTCTTACTGCAAACGGTCAGATCCACAGATCCAAGTACTGCAAATCTAATGTTAAACAAGAGTTTTTTTGCATTTGCTTATTTTCTAACGTAATAAAATTCACTGACACTCAGATGGAACCATCACTGCAGGAAAAAAAAGTTTGAAACAGAAAAAATAATCCTAATTAATAACAATTCTAATAGGATATGCAGAAATAATCAATTTGTTTACATTTTTGTTAACACAATAAACAAAGGATTATCGGGCCATCCAACATGGTTGGAAGACTTTTTGCCCAGAAGACAATAGCTAAAATTAAAATAATAGAAAAAGGCTTCTCCTTCAGACATCATGGATAGCTAATTAAAAGTCCCTAGAAAACTGTGGGCGCTATAACAGTAAATTAATTAAAACAGTTATTCAGTTTCATTCCTTTTAAAGTGGAATGTTGGAGGTTGAAATGATTTTCCCAACAAAAACAATTCTCACTATTCATTTGTCCCCCAGCAATAAATGGGCTCACAATAAAGGTTGGATTTGAATTATTTCCTGAGATAATAAAAGATGGGCTTATTTAAAGCCGTTTGCTGCTCTTCACAAGATTCCAAATAAATATAGAGAGTAGAATAAGAACAATACCTGAGTTAGTGTGCACGCCAGTGGCAACATTACCAATAGAGGGCGCTAGGGCGCCGCCCCACACCCAATGACACTAAGACATAACAGATCGGAACGGTGACTTATTTCCGCCCTAGGGCGCAAAAATCTTTGCCCATTGACTCTCGTTAAAAGTTGTCCATGCGCACTCAGCAGCTCCTCTGCAATACAAAGGTGTAGGAGAGCTCAGGGCACAGCTCTCCTGCGCCCCGAGCTGACAGGAAATATATCTGCTCATCACTTCCCGCCACAGCGCAGACGTTTTGCGGGTGATTGACAGGTCGAGTCACGCGGGTTTGAGATGCATTAGAGAGAGAGAGAGAGAGAAAAAAATGGCGCAAGAACTGTCCATTTCCAGGACCTGGTTTAGCTACAAGGCTTGGCTAACTGCATTAGCAAGGCAAACACTTTATTCTGCTTTCCTGCCTCCTCTTTCAAGCAATCTGGGATTCAGATGGAAAATAATATAATATAGTGTACTTTTTCTAGATGTTTGTAAATTTGCATAGTTGCTCATAAATAAGCACATTCTCAGAAAATAGTTTTATATATTAAAAAAAGGTATAAAGCTCCCTTATCAAACTGGTATATTGTTTTTCGTTAGGTTTGTGACACAATATTGGACCATGGAAAACACAGATTTGCATTCTTAAAGCCTCAGAAGGGCAGGATTTATGTACAAAAATTAAACCTATGCATGAAATTATGTTTTTTTTTATATAAAGTGTTTTCATAATGTTTTTGGCATTCATATAAATATACTGGTGTGATAACTTAGTATACGTTTGATTGGTTTTTGGTATACATCTATTTTGAATTTATAGCCCTCCCTGCAGAAGACCCCACCAGCCGCCACTGGTGCACACTAACTTCTTAAATGTGTTGACTGCTCTTTCACTTTCCTGCTGTTTACGCCAACAGTGTCCCTACCTCTCAGCCACTGAATGTTTATCTCCCTGGTTTATCTCCCCGCTGTATTAACCACCTTGTTGTTGTGCTGATGTCATCCCCCAGACACCTTCATCCAGAGGACCAAGCAGCGCTACAACAGCCCTCGGTCCCTGTCCCCCAAGATCAACCTGGCTGACATGCAGACAGAGATCAAGCTGCGGCCGCCATATCAGCTTTCCCCAGAGGACCTGAAGGCTATCAATGGATTCTCAGTGCGCACTGCTTCTAAATACAAGGGCATAGGTAGGACTCAAGCTGCCACACAAATAAAAGCCTTTTTAACATTTGTTTTTTACTGCCTGAAATGTCCATTCACATGCTCAAAAAAATGCCTGCTGCATTCAGGTGTGTAGATAAGAGCTTCTGCCCTCTACGTTTTGTTGACACGTTTGCTTTGCTTCCTCCAAAGATGCGGGGTCTCATGTGTCAACAACAACGCATCACCTGTATGCTGTTTGTCGATAGGTGCTTCGCCCTTTGAGAAGTATTTTTTATCTTCTAACTCTTCAACAACTTTCTCCGCCTCCCGGCTGATGATGCTGTTTGTTTACTAATGTTCTCTGAGTCCTTCACAGAGCAGCAGGACTTATATTACAGGCTGGTGTTAGTGGGTTTACTAATGAGGGGACCTCTGAAGACATTTAGTGGAGATTTGATTCAAGGGTATCAGAGTGAGGGGGGAGCTTAATACGTATTAATGCCACACTTCTCCTTCCTTGAACTTCAAAACTTGAGCGTTTTACTTCATGAATAGTATTTTAATTATTCCCCATGCACAATCTAATGACACAAAGCAAAACCGTAACTTGTTATTTCAGGGTTTCAGCGGGTTAATAAAAACATTAAAAGTCGTTAAATGTGATTATTGTTGCATTTAAAATGATTTATTTAAAAAAAAATTTTATAAAAACAATTTCATCAGATACATCGCAATATATTTGTGCGGAACTGCTTCCGATTGATCATAAAGCCGTATGTTCAGAATGGGGAAAATAATAAATTTCAACGAAAGTGGTTGGAAAATGAGGAATTCGGGACATGTCGACAGTTAAGATGACAAAGGATTTTATATATATATATATATATATTAGAGTCATGGGTACTTGTTGATGGCATTAAAATTATTTCTAAGAGCCTTAAAATAGTGTTAAAATGCATTAAATTAGAGTTACTCATTCCTGTATAAACCCTGTATTTATTTGACAAGCTATTTATGTTTTCACATGTTTCCAGGAGTCAAAAACTCTGTATAATTTGCAGTAAGGTCCAACTTTCTGATCTTTGTTATCACTGCTGAGCACAGCTGCTGCTCATATGTTCTTGCTGATGTGATGAGGATCCTGAGCATCTCTCTTCATGCTTGCTCTCTTCATCTGTGTTTTTTATAATAACATTAATCATTTTGCCTTAAGGGATGAAGCGAAGCGACAACAGTGACACATTGCTTGTTTTATATCAGGATGCCCTAAACTTAATGACTTAAAACATCTTTTGACTAATGTTTGGTTGTTTTTTTCTTGATAAGAGGGATTATGCATCATGAGACGACACAGTTAAAGAATGCAAGCATTTACAGTGACCGCTGCCCTCTTCCAGCCCCCACACAGATGCTGCAGCCTGTGACGCTCCCTGGTATCGTGTCCTGTGTGCTCAGTGTTCTCTGCGGAGGCCTGAACCTGCTGAGAGGAGTCCATGCGATCGAGAGCATATTACAGGTGAGGACCTGCTGCAGCTGATATTTGGACATTTATTGGTGTTACAGCAGGAAATAACTAAAAGAATAGAATCCTTCACCATCAGATTAATTTTGTTGTTATTCAGTGCCGCAGTGGTTAGCTCACACGACCCATGTACGGAGGCCTTAGTCCTGGAAGCAGCCGACCTGGGTTCAAATCAGACCTTTGCCGCATGTCTCTCCCTCTCTCATACCCCTTTCCTGTCAGCATAATGTTCAAAAAATGAGCCACTAGTGCTCTTAAAAAGTCAGAAAAGAAGACAAAAACATTAAAGTCTTTTCAGTCCCTAAAAAAAACAAACAGTAAAAGCATATGTTGGTTGTTCGAAAGATAAAAAAAACTAATATATTAAAGCTGCAGTATGTAACATTGAGAAGAGAGCAGACTTCGACTGAAAATTTGAAGAAAAGCAGGTTTCACGCCACTCCCCCACCCTCTCTGCTTCACTCATGCCCCACCTCCAAGCTCCACCCCTCTCACAGCATCTGCGCGGCTACCGCATGCGACCAGAAGGGGGGGGGGGGGGGGTTCAGCGTGTGTGAGCTGTGATTGACACTCCATCAGACGCTCCTCTGGCTGTGATTGGTTGTTTTGACTTGTCCCGAATTATTCTTTCCAGATTGAAATACAGGCAGTAGGCGGGACCAATTGAAGCAGTTTTTTTCACAGGTTACATATCACATGTACTGCTGTCTGGGCATAGGGACAGTTTTAGCCAATATGACAAAAAAGTGATTTTTAAAAACTTACAGACTTCAGCTTTAAAGGTACAGTGGAATTTTTGAAAACACCCGCCCTCTTCACTTTTAAAAAAAATACACATGCACACCCCTGAACCCGCTCCTGAGAGAGAACGCCTATTAAAAGCTGATTGCAATTTTTCCACCGAGTCAGACTCACCACCGGTAAGTGGAAATGGGGGCGAGCATGTAGGACGGCCTTACGTAAACATATCACCAGGATGATTGACAATTAGGAGGACCACTTATTTTGATGATCCACCCGGAAAAAGAACATCCTGCACTATACCTTTAAATGCAGCACTTTATTGCACTGACTATAATGCGTTTTCTGGTAGCATCACCCTTATATTTGTAGAATAACTGGGTGCTGACCTTAATCTTCAAACAATATTCTATATTATATAGAATATATATATATATTCAATATTCTATCTTAATTGTCATGCTGCAAATTCAGTGTCTGCGTTCAAATCAACAGAAAAGTCTAAAGGTTTTGAGGCCATTTCACCTCATTCTACAAGTTTAACATTCAGTGTAACATGTCATGTAAGGCCTCATTTAATTAAACATAATTATGTTAGTTGGAAAAAATGGAACAGAAGATGCATTAAATAGTGTTTACCTTTAAACTGACTCTGTATTTGGACTTTAGGCATCATGCCGATTTTCTTCCTCACTAAACGTCTCCAAATCAGTCATAATATGAGGACATCTGGTCTCCCTGTGATCCTCTAGAGGTGAACCCATAGATTATCAGTCAGACTACGTTTTAAGCTCAGCCATCTTAGATCTTCATTTTATTTTTCTAGTGAATTCATCCGTATTTTTATTTATTATTTTTGGGCCAACCAGGATGCTGAGAAGTTAAAGCTCTCGTCCTCCACAGCTATCAAAGCGCTTGATCAAAGCTAAACAGTATTTTAAACTGTTAATTCTATTAGACCGTACAGAAAAAGGTAACAGTAAAGCCACATCATCATGCTGCCACCTTTGTTTTTCTCTCAAAAAAAATGTATTTGCTGTTCATAGGTTTAAGGTTAAACATAGCTGATAGAATTACCCCAAAAGGTTAAAGTTTGATTTCGACCGGGCCATAATACATTCCTGAGAGCTTTTAAGGTGTTTGTGTTTCCTTTGCTCATTTGGTCCTTAAGACAAATAAGAAAAAAAATAAAAAATAGCAATTATTTATCAGAAGTTGCCCTTTCAGTGTTACCCTTTGCCTCCCTTTTTTCCAGATCTTCTTGTTTCTCTCATATTTTCTTCTTACCCCTTTCCTGACTGCTATAAACTATTGGGTTTATTGGAAGGTGTTATTTTTCAGCTTTGTTAAGCAAATATCTGGGAAATAAGGTCATAATATGTTGTCTAATGACCTCCTTTACTCTGTGACAAAGGTAAAGGCCTTTTTTCACGGTTGCCATTATGTCCCATTAATCTAAAAACAGATTTAAGGTGAACAGAACTCCAAAATGCTGCATGATGATGATTTAATTTCACCAACAGACAATATGAGTGACAGTAAACCTGGTGCGTTTTCTCCCTGTGCAGAATGATGACGAGGACTTTAATTATGTGATTGCCTTCTTCCTCGGCACAGCGGCCTGTCTGTATCAGGTAAGTGATAGTCTGCGGTAAGAGCAGGCCCATCACCGGCTGACTAACAGCCCTGCACTTTACGGCTCAGCAGCTTGTCAGTTAGACAAACATTCGCTGAAGCTCAGTGCTCCTCTATAAAACATTTTCATCAGCTCCTTTTGTGCAGCTCCCAACGCTAAATGGAAGAGCACAATTTAGTCGATATACGTGTGAAATAGAGACATCAAATAGGGTTTCTGTTTTAAGGCATTAGTGGCCAATATGTTTTTGGTTCAGCATTAATGTGATTTAATCCCATATCTTTCAGTGCTACCTGTTTGCCTACTTCTCCGTCTGGAGGAACAGCAAGTCCTTCTTGGCGTTTGCACTCATCTGCCTGTCCAACATGTATCTGTATGAGCTGAGGAACATTTGGCAGATCCTCTTCCATGTGGCTGTGGGAGCCTTCATGACCCTGCAGATCAGACTGAGGCAACCGCTGGGCAAAGCGCCAGACTACAATGTCTGACAAAGACCTGTAACAGAATAGACTCATCCACCTTTGGTCGTGTGTCCTGGAGACACAGTGGAAACAAAAAAACAAGCCTCCCAGGTCAGGACAGATGGAGAGACGAGCGTATAGACGGATGTGTCTCCATTTGGGTTTGAAAGGAAATGTCTGCTTCAGTCTGACTGCTTCATGGATTGGATCGCCTTCCTGAACATTCAAATGGCCTGTTTTTTGTTTTTTTTGTTTTTTTTTATGTCAACAAAGGAAAAACTAATCCTAATCCTTTGTGTGATTTCATTTCAGAAAAAAACCTGAATTGAGAACCTTCCTCCCTCATCTGCTTTTTAAACTACCTTCACATGACTACCATGAGGTTTAATGGATTCCTGGAATAAACATAAATGTGCAAAATAGCAAATATCTTATTATCTCTATAGCTGCAGTGTCTGTAAACCTCATTGGGTTTAGCACCACTAATTTAAATAAATGGCATTTCAGGTTTCTGTCCAGGCTGATGAGCTTATAACCTAATTTAGCCATTGAAAACATGGATGTGTTGGATACCCGTCACTCTAAGCTTTTATTTAAGGTTTAATTTTCCCAATTTTTCCAGTATTTGCTGTTCAAATAAAGGGGGTCCATAGTATGCACTAGAAAAACAATCTACAAATAAGTAAACATTTCTTAAATTAAGTGTATTTACCCTTAATTTGAGTAGGTAAATAAGTTTGCCGATGTAATGAGTATTTTTACTCTTAAAATAAGATAATTAGATAAAATGCATTTCAAATAAGACAAAGTAATTGTGTTTTCGTATTTAAATCTAAATTATCTTGTTCCACTGGCAAAATGTGTCTTTTACCTCCTCAATCCAAGAACAAATACACTTATTTTAAGAAATAATTACTTATCAAGACTAGACTGAAAAAAAAAATTGCAGTGAGGAAGTGTTATAAATTTACCCGGAAAAGCTAAATAAATAAATTGGTCTTTTTTTCCTGAATGAATGAGATAACGCTGCTGTGTTTTCACAGAGGATGTTCTGTTACTGTTGGCATTACAGATTTCTAAGTTTTTTCCCTTAGAGAAGCTTCAACGGTGTCCCCTGTGTTTAATTTTACTTATGTAGATGCGGTTGCTATTAGTTTTTTGTTTATTTCAAATGAGCTTGTCAATTCAGAAAAACAGACCTTTATTTTTCAGGGGAATGCAATAACTCTTCCATACCATAGAAACCGCTCTAAAGTTGATGCCTGGATAACCAGACCATATGCATGCTGTTTTTCCCGTTCCTGTATTGTAACTTTTTTTTTTTTTATCTTTTTTCCAATGTGTGAATGGTTGTATAAACAAGAAGAAAAGAAATCAATTTTGCAAACCATTCATGCTTGTGTGGACAGGCTTTAAATTAGAACAATGTTTTTGGGTTTGTATCGGGTTGCCAGTGCGGATTCATTTCGGCTCGTAAGACCACTTGGCAAGGAAGTGTAAAAAATCTGCAGACCACAAAAGATTAAATTAGGATAACACATACGAAAGAAACTCAAGCAGGTAGGTCCATAACCTTAAAAAATATTGGCACGTTCTGAATTTGATCACTTTCACCTTTAACTCATGCTCTGCTTACTTGCATCTCCATATTTTTGGCATTCCTTCGTTTCCAGCCCGGTACAGAAATATTTTTTCCCTCAGATGATGATGTGAAAACTATGCAAAGCTGCCTTCCTCGTTTGAGTGGCTCAAACTTTAATTTATTCAGTCCTGTAATCAGGGGAACGCAGTCATATCTCATTTTACAACAGCTCACTATTTATCCAATGACTGATTTTTGGTACAAGATGTAATCATTGTTGAATTTCATGTTTTTTGATTGCTGCATTTTTAGTCAGACATAATGTCTTGTGGCGCCCTCGTGGATCTGTCGGCTCAGGCGGTTAGCAGTCGTATCCCTGCTCGCCTACACAGCCTGGAGCATATGCCGCTGTCACAATGACTGTGTGAATAAACAGATCTGTGCTGCCAACAGTAAAGATGCTTCACTGTTTTCTTTACCTCCTGCTGTGTTCTTTAGTTCAGCCATTTGTTAGACTCTTTGCTCCACTTAGGCATATTGACAGCTTATCTATTGATAAGCTTTTTATATCATTTTTTAGCTTTTAGAAAATTCTTTTGAACAACTGTGCTATTTCTGAACAGCTGAAGATGTGTGCATGAAAGGAAGCTAAATGTGATGTGTTTAGTCCTGCAGCTGTATGCACATCTGGCCTCAGTTAATAAGTTCCTGTCATGCAACCTGTCAGTGCAGTCTGACTTCTCTCTGCTTTTCCAAGCATTGACCACACCTATAGAAACAACACCGGCCGCCTGCTCTCACACAGGCTGCCTTGGAGCACAAATCAAGTCTTGCGTCACAAACTGCGTTTTTGCAACACACTCATCTTTTGCAGTTACAGTAAATATGTTACGTGGGCGTTTTATCAGGAAATGGAGATTCGAGGAGTTATTGAACAGATTTGTTCATGGATGGAAATAAATTAAGAGTGTCTGAGATAAACTCTGATGACTGTTGTTGGAATTTATACTATAATCAGTTTTAAATAATTTATCTGGAAAAGAAATGATGTTTTTCTCTGTAACGGGGCTCTGGAGGTTTGCACTGATTGAGAAACTTTGGATGTGCCACTGAGAAGGAGCTCAGCACTGCATGAGTATCCAGACCTGCTTTATGTCTCCCCTTGCTGATGCTACGTGACTAAAGACATTAACTTAATCTCAACCCCATAAAACAACTTAAGAGTTTTTACTTCTCGTTTCCTATTTATTTCATGTTTATAAACTGGAGGTGAAGCAGCTGAAGCGTCACTGGAAGAATCATCTAGAAATAAGTATTTCTCAAATTAAGTGTTTTTACCCTTAATTTGAGTAGGTAAATGAGATAATTTGCAAATGGAGTATTTTTACTCTTAAATTAAGATAATTTGATAAGATGCACTTGAAATGAGACAATGCAATTGTGTTTTAAATCTAAATTGTCTTGTTCCATTGGCAAAATGTCTCTTTTATCTCCTCAGTTCAAGAACAAATGCACTTATTTTGAGAAAAGAAATTACTTATCTAGGTTTGGATTTTTTTTTTTTCTAGTGTTTGAACTCACCTGAAACTAACCCGTGTCTAAACTTGAAAGATCCAGTTAAGAGACTAGTTTAAATCACACGATTAAAGACTCAGTGTTTGTGCTCAGGGATCATAGTTCTATTAAATAGGAAGATTGTTTTAGATTGACATTGCCAAAGCTGTACAAAAAACAAATAGAATTTGTGGGTAAATTTTATATTTTTAATTCTCCCAACCTAAAATGGCATTGCGTTGAATGTTTTGCATTCACCAGATAATCAGTGATTTAATTTGACTGTAGTAAAAATGGGATAAATGTGCCAATTTGTGAATGATATCAGGGCCAATATGAGATCTGTATTTGTTGACATGCATAATGAACACAAACTAGTTCAAGTTTAATCTGCAAACTTCATAAAAAATTTTCAGGTGGTGAACATTAAACATGAATTTATTTTAACAGTGTTTAACTGAAATAACTAGTTTTTGTCGAGGAGGAATACTACGTGTGTTAGTCTCTACTACTTCCATTATTACACCGCGTTTTAGACCTGGCTCAGCATCAGTGGCCCCCAAAAAAGGGCATTTTCTGCTGCATGGAAGCCTTTTTAACCCTAAACTGGTTCTGGAAGGGAGTCCTTCCTTTCCACCATCGCCACATGCTTTCTCTGAATGAGGAATTACTGACAGCTGGGTCTCTGAAAGCAGTTTTTCACCAGTTGGCACAGCAAATTGTGTTATGAGTATTAAATTAAAACGTGTTGCCTGCTTTTAATCCGTTTACACATTGGGTTGTTTTTAATCTCAAAATTCTAGACCAGTTTGTCCAACTATAAAATACCTTGGATGACATTAGATGAATTGGAATAGTAAACATAATATGGGAAGATATATTTAATTCAAACTATTTACTTTTAGGTTTAAAAGTAAATGCCTTATCGTACATCTAGAAGGTAGGATTTATTATAGGCCTGATGTAAAGCATAGATAAGAACTAATTTCTGTTTAACTTTATAGCTGTGGACACACGGAGCTTGGATATGCAAAGATATCATTTTTTTAACTGAATGTGAACCGATTAAGATACATGTGACTCAAGTCTGAGTTTAAATCTTAAAAAAACACAAACACTCAACTTCTGCTCTGAACTGGAGCATTAAGCCTGTGCTGCTTTCAAATTACATTTCCTAATTGGCAACAACGAGCTACAGATTACTTTAAGATTCGGAGGTTGCACATGAGGAATCACTATAATTGGGGGGATGTTTAATGATTTTATTTTCATTTTGCTGTGCACTCATAAGTTGCTGGGATTTTTTATTTTTTTTTCAAAATACACTTTTGATGTCTTTTCTTCCCCCCCCCCTTTAAATAGATACTGCTAAAATTAAAATTCTTTTTTCAGTTCAAGAAGGTCTCAATCATGTCTGAGGATTTTGATGCAAACTATTTTGTCTCCTGAATAAATACAATTTTCCGCTCAACATAAATGCATAACATGATTAGCCTAATAATGTTGACTAAACACCAAACTCAATTAAACTAGTCCTTTGACTGATACATAAATACACAGATAAAGCCTGTAATGGATGAACCTACAGCATGGTGCTAATCAGCTTTCCTGTATCTTGTTTTCCAACTTTTAATCACTGTGAATTAAGGAGCTCCTGCATAAAGCATGTGGCTCTGCTGCCATCTATTGGTAGAAGGTAAGTACTGTCCCTAACAACCAGTGTTCTTGGATTTTTACATTTAGCTTTCTGTTAAAATACATGAAGGTTGTTCTTTATAAACTCTTTATGAAGGTTTTTATTGCTGCCACAGCATCGTTTACAAAACATACTGATAACAGAATAGGCACAAAAAAAACATCTGAGAAACAACTCAGCAGTTTATTTCACTGTAAAAAGAAAAAAAAAGAAATAGTGTTGTAACAAGACAACAAAAACAACCCATAGTTTTCATCTCTGGAGCTGTTTTTGTCCCAGATGCTTCATGTCGGCATCATAATGAGGAATCAGTAGCTGTAAAGCAGGCGAGATGCCTCAGCTCTTATAAAACAAGATGAGTCACACATTAAATGAGCTTCTCACTGATC